GTAAACTAAATTGATTTATTTTAGGGGAAAACAAACGTTTTTCTTGTAGTATTGCCTCCATTAAACGTTTCATATTATTTTATAACACATTAAAATATTTTTCTGCAGCCTTCTTTTTCTCTTTTCATGTAGACTGCATTCATTGATTTAAAGACAGTACTCTGTATTTATTCTGTTTCACTTTTCCTTTTCATCAGGTCTGATCCTAATATTCTTTAATGATGTATATTATTAATGCTGACAAAAACTGAGACAAATACAAATCTTATGCTCATGTGGAAGACAAATTTGTAAAGTCAAATTATCATTATTTCATAATGTATTACCTGCCACAAAACAGCTGGTTGATTCTTTGCAACAACACAGCTTTAATAATCAGATATTAGTTATATGATTGACTTTTTTTGAATTATCAGGAAGCTCTGTTATTGATGTGTAAAATTTAGAATGTAGTAACAGTTTTAATGTAACAAATTCCTGGGCTATAGAAAAGTAAGACAGTTATTGAGAACCTTTGCTGATTCATTGTCTTATTTGGTCAAAAACCTAAGTGTTTTGATTTATTGGAGGAATGTACCAGAGGGAAAATACTTCCATTTTTCCTCTTGATGAACATCAATTGTTGATAGGCTAGCTGAAGTCGCATTTATCAACTTCTGCTCTGCTGTAGGAGAATTCTATTGAATTATGAAGTATCCCAGATTCACTAAAACCACTAGAGTCACAGACACAGGCTTTATATAAAATACAGTGCGCATTTGTCAGTCTTTCCTTATTTACTTTCCTTTAGTCCCATTTTCACCACAGCTGGGTTACTTGGTGCCAACCAGAACTCTGCCTTCCTCCACTTTAAAGTGTGATTCCTTATGCAAGGCAAGAATTCAGTGATGTTTAGTCTGATTAACTGATGCTGTGTTTCAGATTTGTTAGTAGCCTGTGATCAGTTCTCACAGTAGAGTTTTTACTTTGTTCTGGAGATTTCACTACCATCTTCTTACTTAACATCACAGACATCTAATCAATCTCCCTCCTGTTTAGTCAATTTTACTAAAAGAGATTTCATTGTATGCTCTCAAGTTCTCTTACTCAAGATTTTGTCTTATCCCCTTGTTTCTTTATTGTGTATCTATTTAGTTAATCCTGACAGATTTAGATTAGCCACATAGTATTCTTTAATGGTTAGAGTATCTTGTATATTTCTATTTTTTAGGCAGTGGCAAAATAAATATAAATTAAAATTTGCCATTTGAACCATTTTAAGAGTACAATTCAGTGGCATTATGTACATTTATGTTGTTGTGAAATAATCATCACCATTCATCATCAGAACTTTTTCATCATTCCAAAGAGCTATCCTTATTAAAGAATAATTCCTTATTTCTTTCTCTTTTTAGACCCTGAGAAGCCCTATTTCTTATTTTGTCTCTTTTCTAGGTAATTTATGTAATTAGAATGAAGCAGTAGTTATACTTTTGTGACTGACTTATTTTACTTAGCATGATTTTAAGGTTCATCCATGTTGTAGCATATGTCATAATTTCATTTCTTTTATAGCTGAATAATATTACATTATCCACCTCATTATTCCACATTTTTTAATCTGTCTGTTTATGGACATTTGGTTTGTTTTCACCTCTTTCTAGTGTGAATAATGCTGCTGTGAACATTGGTTTACAAATACCTATTCAAGTTCTTGCTTTCAATTATTTTTGGTATACACCTAAAAGTGGAATTGTTAGATCATATGATAATTCTGTGCTTCATTTTTTGAAGAAATACTCTACTGTCTTCCTCAGAAACTGTGCCATTTTACATTCTCACCAGCAATGTGCAATCATTTCATTTTCTCCACATTCTTGCCAACGCTTGTTATTTTCTTTTTTTTTTTAATAATAGACATCCTAATGGGTGTGAATTGGTATCTCATTGTGGTTTTGATTTGCATTCTCAATGTTTAGTGTCATGACTAATTTTAACTGTGTTTGATATTTAGTGTTTAATAAAGCATTTAATTAGAGTAACATGTTCATTCTCTAATATTTTTAGACTTAAATATTCAGTCTGAATCATTTTCTACATAAATGAAGTTTATTTCTTTAAAGATATTACTTACTTTTTGCATTGTGGGAAATATGCTGAGAAAATTCCAAAGGTTTGCCTGATAATTATTAGATAGATAAATATATACTGGCAAAATCAGACATTTTGGGATCAAGCAGAAGCATCTTGACATATGCCTCTGATACTTCCTAAATTTAATGAATGAGGCCGATTATGTTAACATCCCAATCTTAATTTTTTCATCTAAAAATAAATACCAAAAAATACTGGCATCATATGGTCTAAACCAAGAATTCTTGGGGTAGCTTGGATTATTTTTCAGTAAATATAAATCATTTTCTTCTTTGGGTGAACTATACCTACCTGGGGTTGGGTATACTACACCCCTGGTATTGGGATTAGCCATGTAAGATGATTTGGCCAATGAAATATTAGTGGACATATTTCAAGCAGGCCTTAAATGTGATTGCCCAGTTGGCTTGGTTCTTGTGCTTAATTTATTGTGAGAACAATATTCTCACGGTATCTGTTGATCCACAGGTAATAAGCTTCACTTGTCGTTGACCTGATCCTAATCCACTGCCTTGAGTCAAGCCTATCTTGCTGCTGAGTCATGCTTAGCCTGAATCAGTAAAACTGCATTCAATCTGGAGACCAGCATGAGAACCATTTATTTTGTTTTGTAAGTCACTGAACTTGTGACTATGGCCGCATTAGGTACACTATTGCATGAGCAGATACAGTGGTTAGTTTTTCCATAATATTTATAGTCTAGTGAATCATAATAGATACATTTTCAGAATAATGTCTTACATTTTTTAAATTAAATGTAATTACCAAATAAACCAATAATATTGAAATACCAAATATTTCATAAAACTTAATTTGGAAGTATTATAGGTGCTTCTTTGTTTACATGTTAAATAACAAGATATATCAGAAGACTATTAACTAACAAAATTTTGAAGATGATAAAGATAAACAATGTTTAAATCTATACAACCTCTGTAATATGTTATAAGAAATATGCAATTTCTATTGGTGAGAAAATCACTACAATTGTTAAATTGCTAAGATATTGTTTCTGTTTATAATCAAAGGATACTTTAAATTGAAGTGAAAATTTAATGGCAATAAAGAGCAATTTCTTTAACTTCCTTGCATGCCACTTTCTTCATCTCTTGAGTTGATGTCTTTTGATCGTTAACTAAGGCATTGTATGAGAAATGCTTAGCCTAATGCCTAGTATTATAAGATATTCAGTAAGTGTTCATGTATGTAGTTTAGTCATAGACACTACCCAAAAGTTTACCCATATATTTTGAATATCTGACCAAGTAAGAATAACTGTAGTGGTTGAACCTTACCACCACAACAGAACAGATCGCACTGTACTGTAAATGTCTAGGGACTATAAAGAACACTAGAGTTTAATTCTAACAGTATTAATAAATTATTCTGTATCTAAATGCTTAAGCAGAATGAAGACAGCTTAAACATAAATAAGAAAGTCAGTTGAGGGCATGCAAAAGAGAAGGCAAATAGGAATCTGTGGTTACAGTACAGATATATCAGGATATTGAGAATATGACACTCTGAAGGTAAATTATTCCCATAGTGTCAAATTGTGGTGAATATTAAACTAGGATATTTTGGGTTATTTCTGTAAGTGATCAGGAATCATGAGTTACACAATCAAATTTGTGTTTTCAGGCAACAATTATTGTTAGAAGACTCAGTATTTTTAGAGAAAGTACTCATAATTCTGCAATAATCAGATTGTGGGAAATAATAACTTGAAAGATGGCAGTAAAAATTTAAGGAATTCACAAATGCAATACATGTTTAAATCTAGTTCTCAACTTACCATACTAGAAAGATTCAATTTCATCTTCAGAAAGTATTCACATGAGGGCCAGGCGCGGTGGCTCAAGCCTGTAATCCCAGCACTTTGGGAGGCTGAGGCGGGTGGATCACGAGGTCAAGAGATAGAGACCATCCTGGTCAACATGGTGAAACCCCGTCTCTACTAAAAATGCAAAAAAAAATTATCTGGGCACGGTGGCGCGTGCCTGTAATCCCAGCTACTCAGGAAGCTGAGGCAGGAGAATTGCCTGAACCCAGGAGGCGGAGGTTGCAGTGAGCCGAGGTCACGCCATTGCACTCCAGCCTGGGTAACAAGAGCGAAACTCCGTCTCAAAAAAAAAAAAAAAAAAAGCATTAGCATGATTTTTTACTTGTGTATAAGACTATGTGATTATCATTATGTAAGTGAATGTATACACATACATACACCCAAATTTGCATAAAAGGTGTAATGAAAATTTCCTATACTCCCTATAGTTTGAATGTCTATTATGTATCCCTCGTTATAGGAGACAGCATAATGACAAATTTTCTTTTTCAGGATTCCATTATTTATAAGTGTAAATAAGAATGTCACTTTGATTTAAATTCATAGTCACTTGGAAACAGAGATAAAATAGCATTTGCCCAAGGTTACCCAAATATCAAACAAAATTTTAAATACATTTTGAAATCTCAAATCAGCATAATGCTGGTTGAAATGAAATTTTTAATTTGCACCTTAGTGTCCAAAGTCTACTTTTAGCAGAACACAATAAAACACTGAATTTTATCTGAGATAAAGATAAGTGAGAAGGTTAAAAATTTAAGCAAGTCATCATGTACTCTGACATCTGGAAGTGAGTATAGAACAAATAAGTAATGGTTAGAAATTTGGAAGACCAAGCTTAAATTTATTTCTCAACAATGGTGTGAAATGATCTAATCAAATGGATATAATACTTCTTAGCTCATGAACTTGTTTTAAGAATTGTAAGATTAATGTTGGCAGAGCTATTAATATGTGCAGCTTGTAGGATGCTTTCAAGGATTAAACTGGAAAACTGAATCTTGTCAAACACTTTCATTCACAGCATCATCAAATCTATGTGAGCTGTCTCCACATCTTCAAAGAAAGAAGTACGAATCTAGAAAAAAACTGCAAAGAAAAGAGAACAAGAAGCAAAGATTCATCAAAACAATTCCCAGAAAATCGACCCTATGTAGTAAAATAATGAAAATTTTCATTGGCATGTCAGAGCACTTACTCCAGAATTTTAAAAGTGCACTCACTCCAGATTTAAAAGTGCACAGAGTACATGAGAATGCAGTCTTGGAATTATAATGCCCTAAGGATAGAAGAGAAATAAAGTAAGTGGAAGGTATCCTCATGTGATTTAGTTCTGTATCGCCCCAAAAAATCTCATGTTGAATTTTAAGCCCCACTGTTGGAGGGTGGCCTGGTGGGAGGTGCCTGGCTCATGGGGATGTATTTCTAATGAATGGTTTAGTACCATCCACTTGGTGCTGTTCTCATGATAGTGTGTGAGTTCTTGTAACATCTGGTTATTTAAAAGTGTGTAGTATCTACCCACTCACATTCTCTCTCTTGTTCCTACTCAGGCCATCTGATGTGACCATTCCCCCTTTGCCTTGTCCCATGACTGGAAGTTTTCTGAGGCCTCCCCAGAAGCAGATGCTGCCATGCTTCCTGAACAGCCTGCAGAACTACAGGCCAATTAAAACTTGGGTTTTTTTTTTTTAAATAAATTACCTAGTCTCAGTTATTTCTTTATAGTATTATAGAGGATGAACCGATTCATACCCTAAGGGAAATGAGCACTGAAGAGGAAAGCAACAATTAGGAAAAAAAGAAACTTAGAATGGGAAAAGATATAAGAAAATTAAACATGGAAAGAAACAAAATGTCTCTCCAAGTTTTCCTCAGAACAAATATTTATCCTCTAAGGAAACCATATTTTGCTTTACTAAAAGAAAAGATTCCTCTTGAATTAGAAATCTGGTAACAAAAAAAAAAAATTGTCAGCCCCTATCACAGAAAGGAAAAATTATAGACTGTTTCCATTTATATATAACATTAAGAAAAAAAAAATCAGAAAATGAGAATACCAGTAATTCAGCAAATACCATCCAGCCAGTGGCAAAGTAGAAGTAATATATAATGTAGCACTTGGTGATGAATTAAATGTTTTCTCTATTCTCTGTTTATCTGGCCAGCAGGCATAGGAAGATAGCATGAGTAGAAGAATACAACAAATCTTTTAAGAGTCATGTCTGAAAATGGTATACATCACTTTTGTGCATATCCCAATGGCTATATCTAATTTCATGGCATAAACTAGATCCAATAGAACTAATAGATATGCCCTGGTCATACCAAGGAAAGAAATATATTATATATATATTGATGAGAAATAGTAGTCACTGTCGTGACATATGTAATGGGCTATGATTTTGCCAGCATGGTTTAGTTAAGGTGGTGAGAGCGAATGTAATTAATAAGATAAAGGGAAAAAACAAGGTTTAGACCAGGATCAAAGAGGATTCTGATTTGGATTTTTTTTTCTGCTTATAAAATAATGAGATCCCCTACGGAGAGAACTCAGATGAATGAATCAAAGGATAAAGTCCTGGGATGCTCCAAAACATGAAACAAAAGTGAGGAGCAAAAGTCAACAACAGCAACAACAAAGAAAAATGGTAAAAGAGATACATGGAAGTTGATGAAAAAACAAAGCAGAGATACAGTTTAAAAATTCTAGAAAACTCCCAAATGAGCATAATAAATTATGGCAAATGCTACTGAGAGGCTAACTTAGATGTGAACATAGAAACATTAAATTATGACATGGTAATATTATTTGATGACCTATTTAGTGAAGTCATTAGGGATAAAAGACAACTAGAATGAATAAGAGAATGGGTGACTAAGAAGGGAGACAGTAATTCAGACTAGTCCTTGAGGCTTTCCTTAATAGACCATTACTGTGTAATCAACAACCATGCTAACTCAACTTCCATAACTTACTTTGTTCCAGGCATTAAAGAAAGCACTAGAAAAAAATTAATGAAACATAATTTCAATCCTCAAGAAACTTAAAATTTAGTGGGTAGCCCATTCAGTCAGATAAAATAATAAATCCCATTTAATGTTTTAGGATTTTTACTATCTGTAGAGAACATGGCTCACTAGGGACACCAAGAAGACCATTATCAGCTCAATGTAATTAAGTATTTTATTACCTCTGAAGGTAAGTGGTGAATAATGTCTATTTTATCTGCTGTCAAACCTGAAGTATATTATCAGCCTGTTATTTATAACTCTGTCATATATTCATGTATTTCAATTTCTTTTAAATATATTTTTTACCATTTGCCTCTAACTTTTGACATTAAGAAATTATTCAATTATACTTACTATATCATATGTTTTGGAATTGTGTCCCCACCAAATCTTGTGTCAAGTTTTAATCCCCAGTGTTGCAGGCGGTTCCTGGTGGGAAGTGATTAGATTATGGGGGTGTATTTCTCATGAATGATTTAAAATCCATTCCCCTTGAAGCCATGGTTCTGAAAGTGAGTGAGTTCTTCTGAGATCTAATTGTTTTAAAGTGCTTAGCACCTCTCTCCCCATCTTTTACTTCTGCTGAGCCGTGTAAAATGTGCCTGCTTCCCCTTCACCTTTCACCATGATTGTAAGTTTCCTAAGGCCTCCTCAGAAGCAGAAGCTACTATGCTTTCTGTACAACCTGCAGAACCATGAGCCGATTAGATCTCCTTTTTTTAGAAATACGTTACCCAGTCTCAGGTATTTCTTTATAGCTATGCAAGAATTGACTAATATCATGTATAATACTACATTTATTTTTGTAACCTCTATATTCACTTCCATTTTTTTTACTTTGTCACCAGATTATACTTATCAGTCCCATTAAATCTTTTGCCAAAGATCATGATAGAGTTCATAATCAATTATTGCACTTAAATGTAGTTTTAAGAATAATATTGTATAATATTTTTAAAATATATGATTCTGAAATGACTTCATCAAATGTGATTTTTGTGAACTTACTCTGCTTGGTATTACCATGCAACTAACTTTTCGTCTTTTTCCTTTGATCTGAGTTCAATGAAGTGGAACATCTTGCTAAATAGAATTTTGTTCTTGTTAAGCCATATGATGATTAGATATTGAATTATTTCCCAATTAATTAAGCTCCAAATACAATATATTTGACAAACATATCTAGGATTTGTATTCCTTATTCAAAGAATAACCTCAATAATAAATGCTGAAAAGAATAGATGAGAATAAATATTTCATAATATTTAAAAATTTCATTATATTTCATTTACTTCATATGGAAAATTCATAAAGCTCATAAATAATTAAAACTAAATTATGTTTGTCAAAGTAAATTAAAACATGATATTTTGTACATTTTTGTGTTTATTTACCTGTTTTTCACCAAAATCAGTAATTTGCTGTATTTCTTCTCAACATGAATGTATATAAAAGGGATAACTCATTCTTAAATTTTCTTTATATAATCTTTATTGTTAATCCATGTTATTTTTCCCCAAAAAATTACTTTTACAGGTGACCAATTTTGTTTGTAAATCCTCTTGTTAAAAGCAAAACAGGCTAGATGTGGTGGCTCACACCTGTAATCCCAGCATTTTGGGAGGCTGACGTGGGCTGATCACCTGCAATCAGGAATTCAGCACCAGCCTGGCCAACATGGCAAAACCCCATCTCTACTAAAAACACAAAAATTAGCCAGGCGAGGTGGCAAGTGCCTGTAATTCCAACTGCTTTGGAGTCTGAGGCATGAAAATCACTTGAACCCGGGAGATGAAGGCTGTAGTGAGTTGAGATCATGCCACTGCACTCCAGCCTGGGTGACAGAGCAAGACTCTGTCTCCAAAAAAATAAGCAAAACATACCTTAATTTATTTAAAAAACATTAAAACATTTTATTTGTATTTTATCTGCTGTTTCTCAAAGAATCTCAAATTAAGGTTTTATTTTTGTAATTTCCTGCTTCTATAAATATTTCCTCTGTTATTTTCCTCAGCTTTTTTTTATTTTGGTATTTTTAAAATTATACTTTATGTTTGGGGGTACATGTGCAGATGGTGCAAGATCATTACATAATTATACACATGCCATGTTGGTTTTCTGCATCCATCCCCCCATCATCTACATTATGTGTTTCTCCTAATGTTATCCCTCCCCAATCCCCCCACCCCTTGCTATCCCTCTCCTGTCCCCCCAACTCCCAACAGGCCCTAGTGTGTGATGTCCCCCTCACTGGGTCCATGTGTTCTCATTGTTCAACACCGACTTTACCCTAAAATTTAATTGACTGCTCTCAGTTTCTAGTTCTTTCACACTTGTATAAAGCAAGTTGTTGCTTCACCATTTTCTGACAAAGCAGACTTTAAAAAATTGAATGAAAACAGTTGTTAGCAAAGAAAGGAGAAGCCGTTGGAAATAGTATACCTATGCCCCTTTCAATGTTTTGCCTTTTATTTATTTACTTATTTTATTGATACTTAATAATTGTACATATTAATGGGTGAATGGGATATTTTTATACATGCATATGTCATGGTTCTAATCGAAGTGTTTTTCCATATGCATGTTTTAGATACATGTCACAAGATATTAAAAACCATAAAAAGCTCACCACAGAACTATAGTAAAAGCCCTAGAGATTATAGTCCAACCCCTTTTATTTGTAACCCAGTGAATTTATAACTCCCCTATATTACACAGAGCACTAAGGAGAATCCCCCCAATTTGATATGAACCAAGCATTTCCTCCTTAGTTATACTGTATATATAATTGTCTCTAGTAGCAGAATATCTAATAGTAGAATACAAAGTTTAAAACTGCTCATTTCATGCCTCTATCAAGTCCCTCAATGGCTTTTCCCTCTCCCAGTGAGGGCCAAGGCCCTGATCAAACTCTAGAAGTCTGAAGGCCCTTAGGATCTGGCCTGTGGTTTCCAGTCTGTCCTCATCTGTGATTCTTCCTGCCTTTCTCCTCTCTCTTGTAGTCATACTCTTCGCCCTCCTGTTCCTTGACAACATCAGGCACATCACTGCTCTGGTCTTTGTTCTGACTTTTACCTCTCTTGGTGAGCTCTTTCCCTAGATGTCCATACAGCTAGATCCCTCACTTCCTTCTGGTTCTTAAACAAAAATCATCTTCTCAATGAGAACTTTTCTATAAACCTTACACAAAATGTCAACAATCTCCCATTGACATTTCTTATCCTCTTTCCCATGTTCACATGTTTCTCCTCAGCTATTTGAACCAAATAACCTAACTGTTT